AAAGAATGATCCAGTTGGTAGTGACCTAGAAAAACCATTGTTGAATGCCTCATTTGCAAGTGGGTCAGAGTTGGCTAGGGAGCATGTAACTGCAAAGAATTAACAGGCAATGTAAATTTTCTCACTGAAAAATCTAAGTAGATTTAGCTGAGATGCTCTGCAAAAGCAGAGATTCAGGCAGCTTTAAATTATATCTGATTGTCTTCAGGGTTTAAAACTGTTTGGCAAGCAAACAAAATTAAACTGCACAGATGATGAAACCCATAACCAATCTTTGCTTATTCCTGCATTCTTCCTGCAATCCCTTGATTTCATCTTTAGCCATATATTGTGTGATGGGATGTTACTGGCCATTGCTTTAAAAAAAATTGCATGTCCCTACTGTATCCGAAACCATGCCTTTTAATTCAGGACTACCCAGTCCTTTCATTGGAGCAGTGCATTATATGGCAGAAAGGTACTTCAGAAACATCTTAGTATGACCCATGAAAAAAATAGAAAAACAAAAGAAAGGAGCTAAGCAGAATATCTTACTTATTTGCTAAATAATCATGTTCTGTGCTTGGAAATTATAAGCCAAGTATCACTTTTATGACTTTTAGATCTGTAGTTTAAATGTTAGTCTTTCTTCTAGTAGATAGGGATTTAAAAATGAATTAAACACAAATGATTCATCCAAACCAAATTTAAAAAGGAGACAGATAGAGACTGCTTTTTTCAATCTGCTCAATGTAGAAAAAACTTAAAGAAATAGTAAGTCCTGCAGCATGTCCTGAAGTTTTTTTTTTTTAAATTTTAATGACACTGGATTTTCCATAATTACAAAACAATGTTAAGCACTGTGAGCTAGGATTAATGCCCTCATGATGTAATGTAAGAACAAACAAATGTGGATTGGATTAGTTACAAACCCAGAACTTTATTTTTATAGAAGGATGTACTATAAATAAAACAAGGCATTTCAGGCTGCCTGCCTGAGAATTAGTTTGCAAATCAGGAGCTTGCCTCAGGAATGTACAGCTCTCCTTCTACTAAACTATGATTAAAGCCAATTATGGAATGGAAGGAAGAAATGGAGGAGTGAGAAGGTAGAACCTTGTCTTCCTGAACTAGTTCCTAATTGGCAGGCCACCATTACATTTTGATTACACACCTAAACTCGTGTTGCAGCAATCCTAAATTTGCTTACTGTACTAGGAAAAAAAAAACCTATTCAGTTCAGAGAAGCTGCAAGCGATTATGCATATTGACTGGATTGATGCATTGTACAATGCCCTACTGTGTTTTCTTTGTTTGGGGCTTGGTAATTTGTGTGAATTCAGCCACGGAGGTTTATAAATTGTGGTTTATTGCTTAGAATTTTGTATGAACCCAGCCAATATTGGTTTATTTAACAAACACCAAGTAAAACACACCAGGCTGGACATGAGGGATAAATAAACCCAAGTATCTACTATCTTGGTAGCATACTTAAGGCTAGTCCTGTTACTCCATTCTAGGAGGAGGAAATTCTTGGAAGTGGTGTAGCATTAATTAGGTATAACAGTCTTTTTCCAATCTGATACCTCCTGATGTGTTGGACTGAAGCTTCATTATTTTTTCAGTTCTTATTGATTGCTTGAATCAGTATTAACTGCTCCTTTCTTCTAGGTCTGAGGAAGAACTAATCAGTACAAAATAGAAAAGTAGTACTTTATTATTTCTTTAATACAACCTACAAAATAAGGGGGGGAAAAACCTAAACATTTTTTGAAAATACATTTACCTGCAGGGTGGGAGGAGTAAAAGATTATTTGTGGCCCAATTGGGCAGTCAGTCATGGATTGAATAAATTATCTAGCACTATATGTCATAATATATTCCATATGATACGTGCAGTACCAGGCTTAAAAACTCTTCTGAAGTTGTGAAAAACATGTGAACAGGGTTTTTTTTGTTGTTGTTGCTAGACTGAAATATGTCTGACACTTTCTGATAAGGATGAGATACAGAGTTTGCCTTCTCAGTAAAAGTAATCAAAAGGGCCAGATGTTGTAGTTGTTCCTGTATATTTACTCAAACAAAGCCTTGAGTTTCTTATGCTCTTGTGCTAAACTTTAAACTGTTTTCATTTCTCCATCACCTGTTGAAACAAAACTCAAGGGCATACTGATTCTCTTTTCTATCCATCATCCATATTACTAGTAACGTTTCTTCATTAGTTGATGGACCAGTATGATCATCTATGCTTCTAATCCAGATGATGAAATATCCAGTGGTGTACTAGAACCAACTTGGACAAGCTCGCAAGAGCCAACTGTTAAATTTTCTGGAATTTTGTGAGCTGGTTGACAGCAGAGGTGAGCCTCGATGCCTAGTGTGCCAATCAGTTCTGTGGCTAGCAGCACAGCAGAAGCAGGGGAGCCAGCTGAACTGGTTCTTAAATGTTCATCAGCTCACCACTGGATATATTGTTGATGCCATCAAACCCACAACATTTGGAATTTTATCCTAAGCCTATTATGGACACTCATTTTTATAAGAGATTGAAATTATTCATTAAATTGTCCTTCTTTATTCCTTCAATATTATATCTACATTTTCAGTTTCTGTATTTGCCTTTATACCAATCACAGAACCCTTCCAAAATATAACCATGAGTCCACACTCAGTATATCCTGAGAACCACTTTCCCTAAAGGCATATTGGCTCCCCAGCTTAGCATATTATTATTTAAAGCTGGGGTCCACCAAGTCTTCTAGATTGAGAACACTAATAGCCTTTTGAGTGGTGTACTATAAGTCATGTAATAATAAATGGGGTGTAGACAGAAATTAAATCTTGCTTGCTTCCATTCTAGTGTAATTTGTACATAATATTCAACTATGTTAATGTCCAATTATTTAATCCTTTTCCCTTCTGTTACATTAAAAATTACAATTTCATATAACTTTTTTTTTTTTTCCTGTTCTCTGAAAGTTGAATTCAGAGCTTTTAGGGGGCTCCTTGCAGAAGATCCCCCAGGTCACATACATCTCGGCTAAGCTATGGGTTTCTTTAATCATGGTTGATTGAGTAAACCATAACTGGTTGGGTTCACACAGATGGGAATCAACGGCCAAATAAACCATGTATAGTATAGTGGAAGGTTGAAGTTCATATACTATGAAGTGTGCAAACCACTGGGGTACATTTGCTTTCCTGGATTTGATTGAATTCTTTTCCCTGGAAGTGTCTTTTCTCAGGCCAGAGCCTATATATCTGCTTTCAGCTGAGAACCTTCGGGGTGGAGTTGGAGGAAGGGTAATTGTTAAATATCTGATTAAATGGATGGTGTAGGAGGTTTTTGTTGTCTACAAAGTTTTGCAGTTGTTTTTTTTTAAATATCAGGATGAAACAGACAACGATAATGTGCTGGGAAGATTCAGGATCATATCTACATACAGTCTCCTTGATAGAATGTAGCAGAATAACATGAAAAGTTTGAATGCACCCATCTTTTTGTGACTTACTTTCAAACTTAGTTCATATTGAGTTAAGTGACAACAGTCTGCTCCAGCTTTTCGGTCCAGGGGGCCATGTGCTTATTGAGTTTACTTGGGTTTGCTCTGACCTATTGGAATAAAGATTAGGCTTCTTTGAATCAGAGTTTGGTGGATAATACGGTGACAGAATTTCTGCTCTCGGTGACCTTTCTTAGGAAGGTGCTTTGCCTTTTTAGTGGATAATCATGGTCTATGCCTACCTATATCATTTGACAAAACTTTCTTTTGAAAGGCAACCTTTGAAGTCCTTGAAGAGGTCTAATATATTGAATAGCCAGCTATAACTACCTCCTATTTTTAGAACAGTGCACCATAAGTCCTGTAAAAAGCATTGAGGATGTCCAGTCGATTCTGCTGTCTGCACCAGATACTGGTGCCAGGTTGCCATCTCTATTTAGCTAAATTAATCTCTCTTTCATTTTGCAGTGCTATAAATCTTTGCTTGGTGATTATGCTACTTTATGAACCTCATGTTTTCTGTTGATCAGCACAGGAATCTTACTAAAGATAAAGCAGCTAGCTATTCAAAATCAACGTCAAATAAATCTTATTCCTGTTCCTTTCATCTCTTTCTGCTACTTTTACAATATCTCTCAGCGTATGCTGTGATTAAATGCTGATAAAATTAACTTGTTTTTTTATTGGACAATACAGTAAATTTCTTTAATTATATAGAATAATCAGATAAATTCTACTTTCTCTTGGTTTCTTTGGATTTAGAACATTCCTAATGATGTTTTTGTGAATTATTTGTGAATTATTAAAATATGTGGAGATTAAAAATATGTTAAATTTCTTTTTCTTTTAAAAATGATCAGTTTGATAGATTAGCAATATATAAGTAAAGTTTGCTGCAACACAAAATACCTATCTGAAAGCAATATAGTTATGATGTTCCCAACAAATAATGGGTTATTATTTGTCACTACCATTTCCTGCTTCTAAGCTTCTCAAAAGCATGTGATTGACCATGTGAACAACTGAATGGCTACTTGGCAAGTTCAGGGTAGAATTCTTCTAATTTTAGCATTCAGGGAACTCCATTTCAGATATAAAACAACAGTTTTCCTAAATGGGCCATGATAAATGGGGATTATGGGAATTGAAAGCAACACATCTGGAGATGAGATCACCCAAAAGCTGAGTAATGTGCATCTCATGCAATTGGCTCTTACATTCCGAATTTAATGTCAGCAGTTGGTATAGTCAGACAAAAACAAAAATGGATAAAAGGTGCATCTTCTTCAAACAGACAATGCAATATCTTCCATATCCCCTGAAGTAACACAACCCTTTTGCAGTAAATTCCCCTGCAAGACAGGGCCAAGATAAGGAAGCATTTCTTGTTCAGATATAGGTGTACTGCAGCTAAAGCTCATGCAAGTGGTGATAAAATGATGTTTTCATGCTTTCACAGCTACATTTGTGGGACTCAATTGTTACATTTTCTGCCTTTTGTCCCCCTTTCCTTTCTAGTATCAAGCTTTTGGCTGTGCAGGAGTTGATTGACAGAGATGCACTGGAGAAGGTACATTTTAATCTTTCTATAGAGCAACACAAATCTGTTAAAGCCTCTTTCTTCTGTTAGTAGTATTTTCTATTTACTGTTACTCATGCCATATAAGCATATACTTATACTTCATATTACATAATGTCACTTGGAACCAGATGAAATGTGCCATCGTATACTCAAAGACTATTTTCTTTGTTGTATTCACAATCTAATTAGATGGGGATTTGAAGCTAGGGCTACACTTGGCCATTCAGTGGCATATTTGGAACGCCCCCCCCAAACTGAGTTGAACCAGAATAAAAATGAAATGGAATTTCATTTTAATTACATATACATTTTAATAGAATTAAATATAGTTAATATAATTACTCTCCATTCTTCATTTTATAATTTCTTTTTAATGATAAAATAAAAACCACAATTTGGTAATAACTTTTGGAGGCTTCTGAGGGCTATCAGTTATGTTAAATATTGTCTATCAGTATATACAGTACAATAAACCCACATCCAAGGAATCCTGAGATGAATGTCAAAGCAGTTTGAAATAGGACCCAAGATGTGGTACATAGGAAACACTTCAGATGGAGGCTTAAGGGATAGAAGGAGAATTGCTCTTTTTTTCTCTATTGAGAAAAAAAATCTTCAGCATGCCTAAATTAACTTTTTGGATCCTTCTAATTTCCTTCGTACCCTTAATTTGGCACAGTACAAAAATAGATTTTTCTCACAGCTCCTTGATTTCTGTTGGTTTTTGATACCTTGTGAAAAGCAAGTACATTAAGCCAGATCAGAGGGTTCTGCAAGCAAGTCTTGCAAGGCCTTCTTAGGGCAGGGTAGAAGAGTTCCTTTTCAAGACTGGTCCCTGACCTCCAGGAGGCCAATTCACTCCCTGCTTCCATTTCCTGTTGTTATTGTTTTCCTTTTTCCAGCTGATGTGGTTATTGAACATGCTCGGTCCTCACTAAGCTTTTCTTGGGAATGGTCTGAATGTTAGCTTAAAAAGGAAAAAGAAAATATACTTCTTCAAGCATCTTAAAGTCCTGTAATATTTAAACAATAGCTCATACTGTAGTATACTTCTCCTTTGTATCATTGTGGCCCCATTTTGGCTCCATTTCTGTTGATACTCACCATCTGAATTCACTAACAGAGTAATGTAGAAATGCATAAAGTGACAATGTCTGCAATGTTTTGAAAATGCTGCTTTTCATACCACTCACTTTCCTTCCCTCCCCCCTGCCTCCCCAACCTGGTCTTTACCTTAAAACTTTACAAAGTGAAATGTCTTCATTTTGTTGCTTTGCTATTGCAGTATAGATTTTCTTCCATATCTGGCACTGAATGGACAGACTGAGTTGAATGTTTAAAATCTTGAGAGCAAACGCACTGGCAGTGGTTCCTTCCAAGTCCAGTCAGCTTCAGAATACACTTCAGCTAGATCAGCATTACATCATGATTAAACCTATTATTATCTTTGTTAATTCAACATTACTTTCATCGCACAGTAGACTGCTCATGAGGTGACTGTTAAGCAGAAGAGAGTGCTTCTGCATTGCCAAATAGAGCTCCTGCTTTCGGTTGGCTTAACTGCAGAGGTGGTGGCAGTAAATCTATGAATGAAAATTTTTAATCAGATGCCTTTCTACATATGTTCTGTGCAGTATGCGTGACAGGTATTATTAACATCCATAATATGGCTATAACCTATGCATATACAAATAAAAAAGAGAAAAGGAAACTGGTACATAATCTCTGGCTTTATTGTCATAGTAACTAGGCCTCTTTGGACTTTTCACTTTAGCATTTCTCCATAAAGAAAGGAAGGTTAGTGACAGCCCTAAATATTCAGCTCCACTTCAGGTTTCAGTGCATTTGTTTTAACAGAGTGATAATTTGCTTCCTCAGAATTAAACATGCATGGTATTCAAGGCAGGCTGGGACTGTCTGCTCCCATGCAATATTTAGACTTAGGTAATAGGTCTTGACCACTCATGAGATTAGTGGTTATTATTAAATACTTAGGAGAGAGATGGAAACCTGTGGCCCTGGAACTGTTTTTCCCTCTCAGTCATCAAAATCTCTTCTTTTCACAGCTGCTGAAAACTACTAGTGTGGTTCCCTGCTGTTTTGAGGTGGGAAAGATACATCACTAGTAGTATAAATCTACTCAAATAATAAACTCATTATCATTTAATGATAGACCCCCACACACACGCACAAAACACCTTCCTCTCAAACCCCAGGAAAAGAAGTCTTTTGGTTTTGCATGCTTGACACCACCACTATACTCTCAGCCTCCCAAGAAATGCTGATCATGGCTTCCAGCCACCGAATAGTTACCCCTTCTGCTCTAGACAACTGCTGTGATCTGTCCCAGAGTTGGTCCTAATGTCTTTCAGTTGAAAGGCATTTTTTTCACAGCCATGTTCCCTTCTGAAGCTTTTTAATTTCATGCCTCTTGACGTGGGCCTCTTGTCGTGGCCAAACGCGGGGCTAGAGTTTAGACAACTTTGGTTAGGGTTACACAGGTCCTAAAAAGAGCGGGCCCATAGACTGGAATGCACTGTACTTGTGAAGTGGTGGCAATGGCAGAGTGTGATTGCACAGCTATATCTGATGTGCTTGCTAGACTGTTCCTGAATTGAGTAGATCTGGCAAAAAGTATTAATATTGTAGTTATGTAGAGATTTCTGCAGTTTGCTCTAAATAGTGCCCAGGGTGTCCAGGGGCATCTGTTGCTGCAAAATGCAGAATTAAACTAAGTGTGTGATATTAGGACCATGTCATGCCCATCTTGAAAGAACCTAGTATTTAGTATTTTTACTAGTGACTAATTGTTTTCTGAGTACAATTTAAGATCTTAATTCTAACCTCTAAAGCCATAAGTGGAATAGGGTCTGATTATCTAAGGATAAATATGTATAGAATTGCAAATTTAATTTGGTGGTCTTTGCCATTCTCTTGAACAGTGAAATCGTTGTTTAATCCCCTATCAGGAATATGGTTACTCATATTATCTGTCCTCACCCCTTCCATTTTATAAGGAAGAGACAATTGATGCTAAATTTATATTGCCTAACTGATTCATCTATTGACAACTCTGTTGTTTAACATTCAGATGAAATCCTGATTTGGATATCTTGGAATAGCCCTAGAATCGCTTCCTAATTCATATTTGAGAAAGAGAGGAAATCCAGGTTGTTTGTCATTCTGTTTCTTTCCTTGCTTCATAAGAAATTTTAAAACCCACAGGACATGATGAAACTTCAGAGTTTGCAAACATTGCAAATCTCACATCATGTTTGGTCTTGCGTAATTCATTTGGCTTGCTTATTTTGTTTAGCTAAGATTAATTGTTAAACGATCCAAAACTTACTGCATTAGTACTCACTGTCTTCACTTTAAGCAATTTGCTAGCTTATCAAAGTTGAAGCAAATTGAAGTTAATTAAACCAAGCTGACCTGATAAAGCTGTATCCTTACAAAGTCTTTCAGTTGCCCACTTTTAATTTAGTGCTTGAATTTAAACCTTGTGACAACAAGTTCCTATCAACTATAAATTACACTATAAATTATAAACTTGTGACTGTTGTTTTGGGAAATGTTTAACAAATTGCTGGAGGATTTAGTTAATGTTTCTACTGTTTAAGCTTTTAATAGCATTGTAGGCAAACTAGCACTGCCTGTGGCACAAGGGGATATCCCAAGTGTGAAGAAGGATGATAGACCAACCCTGTAAAGGAGGCTGCATGGGTCCTGCTCCTTCTTTCTTGAAATCTACAGCTACTCCTTGGGTTACAGCCATTCATTCAGTGACTGTTCAAAGTTATGATGGCACTGAATAAATGGCACTTACGATGGGTCCTTGTAGTTCTGGCCATTGCAGCAAACCCTTGGTCACGTGATTGCGATCTGAGTGCTCAATGCCTGGCTCATGACTATGACATTGCAGTGAGCCACGGTCACATGATCACAATTTTTGATGTTCCCTGCCAGCTTCCCACAAGCAAAGTCAATGGAAAAGGTGGCAGGAAGTTGGAAGTCTTCTCTTAACGACCCATGAGGTCTCGCTTAACAATAGCAATTGGGACTGCTGTTGCTAAGCAATGGGGTCACATGACATCATGCTTTATGACCACATCACTTAGTGATGGCAATTCCAGTCTCAATTACCATCATAAGCTGAGGACTACCTGTATTATTATTCTGCTTTCCAGTTGTAATTGTAGATAACTGTAGATAGCAGCAAACTCCAGAAGCTATCTCTTAAATAGTTCCAACTCACCTTCATGGATGTTACTACACATGGTTCATATAGCCTTCCCCCATAGATGAAGAAATCCTCTCATGAACATTATCCTTGGAAGGACCCCAGGATCCTGGACTCCATTCCTGCTTTTTTCTTTTTCTCCCTCCCCTGCCCAGAACTTTGTCTATCTCTTTTCTTCTTAGACTGAAGCATCTTAGATTTCTCTAGTTCCTTTAACTTTTAAGAGTTATTTATTTATAAATTTATTATTTTATCATCCACCTTTCCTCTAAATAGCTTAGGGAAGCTTATTGGGTATGGTGCGGTCACCTTTCTTTTTATCATCACAGCAACAACCCTGCAAGTCCATGTGCTGCAAACCTTTACTGACTTCACTGCCATCCTTGTTTCCTCACAGGCCCTTTGGAAGAAGACAAATTACTTTATTTTTAAAACAAAATTTATGGCATTAGATGCCAGGGCCTTCTAAGCTGGGGGAAGCCCTGGAACCTCATCATTTGCTCCAGTGTAGAGGATCTCACTGCCAGGGAAATTGCAGACCATCATCTGCTAGCCCAGTGTTTCTCAACCTTGGCAATTCTTAAGATGCATGGACTTTAATTCCCAGAATTTCCCAGCCAGCATGGTGTTAGCTGCTTATTTAAAACAGCATAATGGAGGGTTCTCTCTGGTTCTGTCCAATAAATGGAAGTGTTTAGCAATCTGGAGCAATCAAGTTATCTTTCCTCCTCTCTCTTTTATTTGAACAGATTAGTCTCCTTAAGAAAACAATAGCTTATTCAGATCAAAAACTTACCAGAATAAACTGCAGGTGCTCTGTATAGGAATGAAAGACTATTAATTTTTTTTTTAAAAAAAGCTCTGTTAAACACTTCTGTTTCTATTTTGGTTTGCTGTTACAGGCACCTGCACCATTCAGATAAGTATGTTCCTTGTGCCAATTTATAGCTGAGCTCCCTTATCTCAAAGATGTCTCTTTTGCTCTTTTGTTATAAAAACACTTCAGTAGTAGAGATAGGATACTGAATCAAAATTACACTGGATGTAAGTCCAAGGATAGTTTGATTCCTGAAAATACTGGTTCTACGTGCTACAGTGTTCATAAGTTGCCAACATGTTCTTTATATTACTTTCCAGAGTGGTGCGTATATGTGTGAATTTTGAGAAATGGGATTCCCTTAACGTAAATATGGTTTTATGTCATAAACATGGAAAGATAGGTGTAAAATAAGAGGGATTAAAGGCTATCAAATGTAACCCTCCTTAAAAACCATGCATTAATAAATTATAATAATACAATGTGTTGTTATATATTAATAAACTGTAATAATAATAATACTACATTGCTAAAGTTTCTTCTCTGAACAGCCCAGAGGAGGGATTTCCTAACTCTTCCCTTTGCAGCCATCTGGTCCTCACAAAATGGGCTTCTGGTGGTTGGGAGTGAACTTTGGAATGGTGTATGGCATAGCACTGTTGTGGGAAGGACTGGAGACAGAGGAGAAAGGGAAGAGTAGGAACTGCTTCCACCTCCTGACTTGAGTCCATAGGCAGTTTAGTAGGATCCAGACATAAAGACTAACAATTGATACATATGATTGAGCATAAACCTCATCTTGGTGACCAAGCTGAATAAAATATGGTTTGGTTCCACTGCTAGAAAGACATTCAGAAAAATAATACTAGAAGTACACATTAGGGCAATCTTTACCAGTCTGGTATATTCCAGATGCCTTAGACCCACCTTGCATAATGGGAGTGATGGGCATTAAAGTCAAAAACACATCAGGAGTCTTTGGGAAAGGCTTTATATATAGCATTGTCTACACTTGGTGGACTGAGAATCCCCTTTTAAGACAACTCTGCTCAAGATTTTTCCTGCTATGAGCTAACTGCCAACCCTTTAAAAGGCTCAAATAAAGTATATGTCAGAATGAACGTATGTGGAATGTATGGAAGACAACTCTACTTGAGATGGCGTAGGCTCTCTCAGTTGTTCTTTCTAACTGTTGGGGCTGGTTCAGAATTCACTATGTTGCTTCAAGAAATAGGACTCTTTTTTGAAGACCCGGTAGTATTGGTTTTGGATGGCCTTTTGCTTCCTTCTTGGAATTTATTTCTTTTGATATTTAAAAACCTTCTAGAAGTGATAACCTTGCTTTCTTTCTTCCACTCCCCTTTTACTTTAACATATTTCTTCTTTTCTTTTCTTTTCTTTTTTTAAAAAAGCCTTCATTTTTATTTTATATATTCTGAATTTATATTTTTGTCTTTAGAATTATTTGTGTATGCATGGAAAGGTTTTCAGTGTTTGGAAATGAAAAATTGTTAAAAAGCTACAACAAAAGAAAGATAATTCTACGGATGTATGTGTAGCCGTATGGCAACCAAAGAGAGAAAGCTGGGCGGTATCTAGCCAAATTTAAGCATTGTTTTTGACATACGATTAATTTAGATGAGAAAACCTTTGACTCACTTATCTTTGGTTGAATCATGTTTTTCCATTATTAAAGTCAAGCTTAACTCCTTGTAAGTTGATGGACACATTCATTAAGTTTTCTTTGTAACAGTATGGAAGTGATTTGCCATTGCGTTCATTCAGGATATTTTTTGACTTCCAGCGTAGCCCACAGCCCTAGGATTCTGTGGCGATATGTCCTGCAACTACTAATCAGGGCCAATCCTACTTGGGTTTCCAGCCCAAAGTGGACCGGTATTGCCACCTGTGGAAAGTTTATACAAGTCTTTTATGATTTGAGATAATTCTTTGTCTGTACCAACCATATTGAAAGTATGCACATTCTGAATTTCACACATGAGGAAAAAAGAAAATAGTGTTGAACAATGAAATCTAACATCTTCCTTTTACACACACACACACACACATACACACACACAAAATGTAAAGGAGCATGCTTCTACCTCATATGGGTGAAAAGGTAGGCTGGACATAGGTTATGGAAGAATTGTTCAATTTCATTGCCAGTACTCAAGGAGCCAAGGTTAGGGTCCTTACAAAATTCATTTCTACGCTTCATAACTACTAAAAGCAGAATGAATGATCTAAAAGAGGCAAGCAGATGAGTCTGGGAAGTAAAACACATACATGCAACAATAATGAAAGAAGGCATGTCAAGCCACTTTCATTTTGTTGCCAAGAAAACAACATGAATGAGTTTGTGTAGTTCTTAGGAGTTGAGCTAGACTTGAGAGAGACTTTACTTTTTAAGTGAAAAATCTTCATTGCTCATACAAGTTGGAACAGACAATGTTTTCTTTGTGCAGATGTTTGTACAGATGTTTAAAAGTATTTTCAACTTGCTACTTGCCACACTGTCATATCTTAAAGGAAATCAACCCTGATTGCTCATTGGAAGGATTGATAATGAAGCTCAAGCTCAGATACTTTGGTCACCTAATGCGACGAGAGGACTCTTTGGA